TCCTATCCTCCCCTCCTCAAAAAAATACGAAAACCTTGGTGAAGACCTGCACGATGTTTAAGTGATAATCGAACGTTACTTTTCCTGCTCTGAAGCCATCGCGATTTTTGCTGCCACGGCTTTTTTGCTGCTGTTTGTTGCTGACTTAATAGCCCTCGTGGTCATTAGACAGACTGATAAGGAATTGATCAATGTATTCCAATTTCTCAAGGTCTACCCAATGTATGGCAGAGAGGTTCTTTTTCATGCCACTGTCGTTACAGCGAGAATGGGTCATCAAAGTTAGATGATAACTTGACAGCAGCCGCTTTGCGGGAACGCCCCCTCTTGTGATAGAAAATCCAACGTTCACTCACCTCAGGGGACACGATATGGCCTTCGAGACGTTTTAGGATCAACTGTACACTTTCCGTCGACGGTGCATGAAGTTTCAACTGACCACGCTGAAATACAGTCATCCTTAGAACATAGTTTGAAGGGAGTGGGCAAGTTTAAAAGCACTGGGCAGATTGTTGGAGGCGGGCGCTTGTTGCCAGCGTATCCAGTGGAAGGGCTGCAAGAGGGCGTTCGGCCACACCCCACTCAACCTTTCACCAATGACGTTGGCGAAAACCGCCCTCCCCCAGCCATCGCCCCCACCGCCTTTGACATGTACCCTACGTATTTTCTGGAATCCAGGATAACACCTGGAATTTTAATTTGAGGACTATTAATGTTTTTTATGTTTTTAAAAACAGTACCGACAGTTTTCTTTTCTTCACTTCCTACCGTTTCGGTCGATACCGGCGCAAGTGCAGCACAGGTCCGTTGTTAGAGGGTTAGGAAAGGAGTGTCACAAACAGGGTACAGCATCGTTGTGTGAAACACATGGGAGGGGGTCGTATTTGATCGTCGTTGGGAGGGGGGTCGTATACGGCTTTGAGAGAAATTTGCCGCGTTGGGAAGAAATTCTTCCCGGTTGTAGACTTTTCGTGATTTTTCCCGTTTCATGTGTACTATATACGTTAATGACGAGGAGACCTGTCAGTGACATCTCAAGACTGTCACCGACGGAATATGTGACGTCAATGACACGTCATCCATCTCTTAACGAGTAATCTACCGCATACCTGTGCTACATCACAACGTCGATACCATTCAAAGCATTACCCGTCACTGGCAGCATTTTACAAGTGTACTGTCTAGTAAACCAATTACTGAAAAAAAATGTGACTAACCCCTTTGTTCTGCTGAGCTCGTGCCTCGGTGTTTATCCATTCCAACAGCGGATCGTGGACGAATGTTTGAATAACCTAAGTGAAATTCAAATTCAAACACAACATACTTAATATTCAGCCATCACAGAATATGGCGCTGATAATAGCGGGAGGGCATTTGAAGGTGCCATCTGAATGGGGGTGGGAGAAGGAAAATGCGGTCTTTTAAAGTAGCTCGCCGACACCGGAGCTCTTCTCCTTTGTGTCGTCGACGACTACCTCCCGCCTGTATCACTGTACCCGTCGAGCTCCTCATTCTTGAGTAGCCTTTCGAGGAGGCGAAGCAGAACTGTATACTTGTTTGTGTAAGCATTCTACCTTCTAAGGGGCGCAGGGAACAGTCCTCGCACCCCTGATACTCTCTCCCCGGAATGAATCTTACCACTGACCCGCCTTTGTCTTACTGTGTAAAGGTCGAAAACCCAGTCTTCCGCACCCATCCTAGTTACTTTCGGCTTATTCTTTGGGCTGCGCTTTACTCATTCTGCCGATTCCTTCTTCACTGAGGAGCCTCAGAGGGGAGGGGTTATAATAGGCAGAATGAAGTAGCCCATCTGAGAAGAGAGGGGGGGGGGCAAACCAGCAAACTCATTTTACTAGGACTACGAAATTACGTAGTTTTTTCTCTTTTTATACCACACAAAAACCCTCATATCCACTGCGGATATCCCATTTTTGCACCAGGGGTCCTTAAAATGCCCCGTCCCTAATGTTATTGGCGCCCAGATTATTGACAGACGTACGGTGAGTAATGTGTCCTTGTTATCTCTCATCACTCGCAACGTTGCTTCGCAGGACCTCCGGAACGAACCTTCGACGCCGGTTGGACCGAATCCGTTCACCATGTTGCGGGTCAACCGGAATGGCACCACCTGAAATCAGCTGACAGTCTATGTGAAAGTAACTGGTCAGTGTAGACAGTAC